CCCAAGCTCACTAAGTATGCAATGCGTTGTTTTCCTCTGTCCGTCTTGTTTCAATCTGTCTTGTGAGTATCAGATTTTCCAAGCACTCTTTCCTCATTATTCGTCTTAGAAATGTCAGCTATCTCTTCCTGATGTTAAGTATAAGTTTTCCTTTTGTTTTCATTTTCTCTAAAACTTCGTCGTTGCTCACATATCCGGTCCATAGTATACTCAGCATCCTTCTGTAGAACCACATTTCTGTTGCTTCAAGCCCCTTCTTTATCTGTGAGGAGATTGTCCAGCATTCACTTCCATATAGGAGGACAGATATCACATAACAGTTCAGTAGTCTTTGTTTCTAACAAATTTTTTTTCCTGTCTCTTAATATTCTGCTTAGCTTTTGGAATGCAACTTTGGCCATCCCAAAATCCCATTTCAATGTCGCACTTTCCGTCCTCTGTTAAAACACTTCCCAAATAATTACATTTTTGTACTTGTTTGATTTTGGTATCTCCGTTTTGTAATTTAAGGCCATAGCAGACCTAGAAAAAAAAAAAAGAAAAAAAAACACATCCGCTCTGCTCATATTTGAGAATAAACTAAGTGATATCATTACTCGAAATCAAGTCACATCACCTATATATGAGTGCGTGTGTGAGCTTACGTTATGTTTTGTGTTTTATGTATCGGCGTTATTTTATTTCATGTACATTCTTCTAAAATCTCTGATACCCTGCAGTTAGATGATGTGAAGTAGCGTGTGAACTGTTCGAATGGGTCCCAACACACGCTGTTAGCGTCTGAGAATAAGCATCATCCACAACCCCGACATTTGCCAACTCGACGATAATGAGAGTCATCACAATGCACAAATAATAATAATAATAATAATAATAATAATAATAATAATAATAAAGATTAGTTGGCAATGCGGTCAAGAGAATCGGGTAAATAATTTGTGTCCATCAGCGGCTGCGCTTGTCAGCAGGTAATCCCCACTCCCTTCTCTGGCAACACCGGTCATTTGTCCTTAAAACATTCGTACAATGGGCCGGAGACAAATGAGAAAAGCTAAAAACAACATGTATCAAATATAATAGTGTGACTCGTAGGTTGAGGGTAAACATCTTTTTTTTTCTTTTCTTTATGGGAAAAGTTATGCGGCTGTAGGTAGACAGACACAAAATAATAAAAAAAAATAGTTTTTGAAACTTTCATTTAACGGTTCGACAAATTCAGGTTTTTTAGAGCTAATAATAATAGTATATTATGTATTGTCATTTTTTCTCACGTTTAAAAAAACTTGTCATACAAACTTATGAGACACAAACACATGCTATGTATTATACGCATATGTAAGTAATGCTACAAATATTTGTCATCATGTGAGGGACTGTAAAGTGTAGACAATTAGACATGTATAGACTTAGATTTTATTGAGTTGATATCCCTGTTTTTTTTTTATTTATTAAACAGTGAAATTAATAACAGCCGTTTTACATTGAGAGATCCTACATTAGCCTCCAACAGGAATCGAACTCGAATGCCTTTTTCCATCGAAGAAAACACTTTTTAAGCTATGTGTGTCTACAAGTAGGACACGGAGCTTGCCTTACAAAACAAACTTGGAATTACCTATATTAATGAACACCCGACCCTTTTTTTTTCTTCCTCGGACTTCTGCGAATTTATATCTACTAGCTTCAGTTTCGTAACCGAAACGCCAAGGGCCATCCTCTTGATTTCTTGAAGAAACGCATAAAAACGCATCAATATTAATATACCAATTCACTTCAGGGCAGAGGAACTTTCTATTCCTGGATGGTTTTTTTAATCATATATTTGACAACAACAACAACAATGACAACAAGTTAACCCATTAATATATAAACTATTATAAAGTGTGTGGTCGTTTACCTCGCATACCGAGAGCTGGTCTACCGTTACTGCTTGGGTATTTATATAGTCTATGCCTTAGTTATGCTAATTAGGTATTTACATATTACTACATAAAGTTTCCTTAAAATTTTACCTCTTTTTCCTTAATCTATTTTGCTGGCGGGTTTTAAATTTTATGTACCCCACTCTTATGCTCTAACCTATTATACAGTTTCAGCACCCTAACTTAGTATGAGTTAATTACACTAAAGAAGGCATGGAACTTACTATTTATTAAATCCAGAGAGTGGCCTCAAACTTTTTACACATTTTCTTTATCTAGATTTCTCGAATGTGCAGGCCAAGAGACTTTATAGACACTGTAATACAAATGGGGCGTCTATTTCAAATAAGAAGTGTCCACTATGATAACGTTTGGAGTAATAAAAATATCTTATTAAAAATAAATTTATCATTTCTTTTTTAGAAATTGTTTTGTTTACATTTCGAATGTGAGACTAAACATATATGGAGCCTGACAAAAATAATCTGAGTGAAAGGGATATGCTTTCCTTAAATAGGGTAAAATAGAGCCTTGCTTACTGTGAAGCCCTTCGTGGTCGACCGATAAAGCATGTTGGATCAACCAGTAGTTTCTCCTACAGAGCGGAAGGCAAGTTCAATCCCTGCCAGAGGATACATATCTCGAATGCGCAGGTCGAGAGACGTAATAAATAAAATTGTGTGTATATATATATATATATATATATATATATATATATATATATATATATATATATATATATATATATATATATATATATAGTAATTCATCGAGTCTAGAAGAATCCTCAACAGGCAGCACTGCTGGACGGCCGTTTCGTTCTATTTAGGACTCATTAGCAGTGTGCATCCACTACCGGTCGGTCCGGGTTCGGGTTCGATTCTCGGTAATGGATGCGCACTGTTGATGTGTCCCAAATAAGACGAAACGCCGGTCTAGTGCATTCTGTATTCTGTTGACATTGAAGTCAACAGGCTGTTTCATGCTAGACGCAATCGTCAGGCCAACATTAAATTCAGCCTTGTGCCACATCTGACTGCGTGGGGCGGTTGGAAGATATCCTGCAGTTGAAGATTCGTTGTAGAATTCACTTGACTCACTTCTAGCAGTTGACTACTACTTCTACGTACCACTGGCGAATCTTATATGTGTTGTTCTTGTCCTAAGTATTATCGTTCATTACCAATCTTCGTTTGATTATTGTATTCAATAACCTTCCCTAGGTTACAACATACACACAAATATATGTATTAGATTCGCTAAAAAAATGAGAATTCATGATTAGAAATGGCCTAAACTAAAATAAAACCAGTTTTATCGTCAAAATCTTTATGTTATTATTAAGAGGAAAGACAAAAGATTTATTTACGTAAAATTTATTTTTCACTCTTTTTAGAACCTTTAAAATTTTGTTTAAAATATTGTCTCTCTGGCGTCAACGAGGGGCCCATAAATCAATATGAGATATTTGAGTGTCTTTTTGCGATGAAAAACACATTAATTTGGAAATTTTTGAAATATTTGATCATTTCCGTATTTTAATTAAACTTTCAGGACTTATTCGCAAATGACATTGTCTATGAGACGTTTCTTTTTTAGAAAACTTCGGTAAAAATATTTTAATGAAACTAACGTAAACAAAGCAATTTGTAAAGAGAGGGGATGGATTTTTTATTTATTAATCCGACATATTATATTATATATATAAATATATTATATATATAAAACTTCATTATATATAAATTACATATAAATTATATTAAAAATGCATGCCAAAAAAGGCTAAAAACAATGGAAGCCTTATTAATAAAAACAAAAAATACAACACTTGATAATATCGACTATGAAAATGGACACAATATCTTGAGTGTGTTTTGAAAATGAAAACCTTATATAAATACATACATACAACAATCTGTTTTTTGTTAACAGTTAATATTGAAAATGGCTAAAAGTATAGAGGAAAGCGCTTGGATAAAACGAACAATTGGACAGTTTTTATATAATTTATCATTCGAAAAGAAAAAAATTATTAGATCACATGAGAAATTGCATAAAAAACTAAATCAAAAGAATCTTGTCTGTCGTATTCATTGAAATGTGCATATATATATATATATATATATATATATATATATATATATATATATATATATATATATATATATATAAAGCAATTTAAACTTTTAGGATAATTCCAGATAGGATGTTAATCCAGAGAGAGCTTATTATGAACTCTGTGTGTGTTTGTGTGTGTTTATGATTTGGATTCCGATTCTTTCTTCGACCTACTTCAACTCTATACTCCCAACGTCTCCACCTGAAATCAGAAATTGTATCCTCCAATTATTCTTTCCTTTTCCTTAAATAGGAGTAGATAGGTTTGTCTATCGCCCGGTTCATACTCTTCCTCGTTTTTTTTAATCCTGTTTAGGATTTGGTTTACTGTCACGCTATACTTCTCCCACTGATCTCTGAAATGTTGTTCGCTAATTAAATCTTGACCTCTTCAAGTCTAGTCAGCTGTTATCTTTCCTGTATAGCTCCCAATAACTTCATTTCTTGATCTTTCTTGCGCTAACACACCGTAACTCTCTAACCTGAGTGGCTCTAGGACCTTGTATTTGGTGAACACACACACACACACGCACGCACGCACGCACGCACGCACATACACACACACATATATATATATATATATATATATATATAGTTGGATTGATGTGAGTTTGTGACCCTGAGTTTCACGCCTTTGCGATCGTCAGACAAATTGATTAATTAAAGTTAAATTTAATCAGTTTAAAATTAAATTAAATTTTAAAATTAAAGTTAATCAGTTTCTCTGACGAAAACCAGGGTCACAAACACACATCAATCCAACTAAATATGTTAGCTTTATCACTGATATTGTGCGATTTCCAATACGTACAGCGCATATATGATATATAAATAATATATATATATATGTATGTGTGTGTGTGTGTGTGTGTGTTAAAAAATAAAAGCCTGTTTGGCATTTAAAAGTACAAAGAAATGATTGAATTTGCTAATACGCAATTGCGTCCGTGCCTATATAGATTAAGTAAATAAGTAAATAACCACATTCCTAATAGAAAAGAAAAGAGACACGTACCAAACTTGATGTTGGCGTCTGCGAATTGAATAGAAAGAAAAAAGACGGCAAAACAAGAAAAAGAAAAGCCAAATCTTCTGCGCCATGTAAAGAGAAAAATGAACAAAATATGGTGCGAAAAAGGGGATGCGAATGAAGAAATCGGAAAGTGAATGAAGACTGGAAATGTTTGAAAGAGAAAAAAAAAATGAAATAATGAAAAATTTGAATGAGTGAAAACATTCGAAAGAAAAAGCAAAAATAAAAAAAAAAAGCGGAAAGTGATAAAACGAGAAAACAGAAAGCAAATAAAAACTATGAAAGAATGAAAACAGTTAACATTATTTACATTATTCGAACTGTTATCCTCATCTTCATTGCCAACGTTTCGGTCGTTGTACGCTCCAGCCTTCTCTAGGTGACTGGAATTTCGAATCAAACCCTTTATTTCGTCCACAGGGGTAGATGTCTCTTCCGGGTGTCTCAGTTATTTCCTTTAACTCTCCATGTTTTGGTTCACCAGTGCTGTGGCCTGGTACTGAACGCTCAGCTCTTTGGGTCTAGTCACTGAAGAAGGCTGGAACGTACAACGGCAAACGTTGTGAATATGGCAACAAAAATGAGGATAGCAGTCCGAATAATGTAAATAATGTAAATAATTATAATACCTCATGTCAGAGATATAGATAGATATTGAATTAAAACATTGTGACATTTTTGAATGCAAAAAGAGCTGGGCAAGCTTAAAAGAGAAAGGCAGTGAAAAATGGAAAAATAAAAGAAAGAATGAAAACTTTATGAAGAAAGGAGAACTAGAAAAGAAAGACGTGCAACCTTTACAAAGAGAACGAGTAAAGAATGAAAATATTTGAAAGAAAAAGAATGTAAACATTTTTGAAAGGCAATGAAGAAATGATGAAAAAGTTGGAAACTGAAAAAAGTAAAAAGTAAGGTGAAAAAGAAGGAATGAAAATTCTGGAAAGAGAAGAAAGTGAAAAAAGAAATAATTTTTTAAAGAAAGTAAAGACTTGGAGAGAGAAAAATAAAATAATAAAATCCGTAGGAAGGGTAGGAAGAAAGGTTTCTTCTTTTTCTTTTTTTTAAAGAAGTAAAAAATTAAATAGAATGAGATTTGAGTTACGTAATATAGAGATAGAGGGAGATGGAGAGTGTTGATAAGGAGAGTGTAGGAAGAAAAGAAAGAGAAAAAAATAAAGCGTTGATAAAAACGACTTTCAGGTGAGAGGAGAGAAAAGAAGGAAATGAAAAAGAAAGTAAAAAAAGAAAATATAGGAACGGAGTTTAACGCGAAATGGTTAAAAGGCAT